GGGGCCAGATATTTGTTGGGACAGCCCCATGGTTGCCATGGCAGACATGAAGTCCTGAGCCGCTCCTGTGAGGGTCGCCTCGGCATGGATATTGAAGTCTCCCAGCACAAGAAGCTGTTGAGACTCCAACGCCAGGCTCGAGACCACCCCCGCTAGCTCAGGTAGGGAGACTGTAGTGCAGCGAGGTGGACGGTACACTAGCAGAATCCCTATTCTGTCCCGGTCACCCACCCTCAGGTGGACACATTCAAAATTTGTGGTCTGCGGGATGGGACTCCTGGTCAGACGGATGGAATCTCTATAGACCACTGCGACCCCGCCTCCCCGTCCTCCGGATCTCGGTTGGTGCTGTACGGAGAAACCTGGAGGACAAAGCTGGGTTAGATTCACACCTCCAGCTTCATCCAACCAGGTCTCCGTGATGCACGCCAGATCTGCCCGCTCATCCAGGATTAGATCCTGGATAAAGGTCGTTTTTCCGTTGACAGATCTGGCGTTCAACAGCACCACCTTCAATCCGGAGGGCCCGCCAACCTGGTTACACCAATTTACCATAGGAGACCGGTTTGGGATTATTAATGTAGATAAGTGGTCCGAATTAGGCCGAATTTGAGGTCTCCTTTGCATGCTACAAAAGACACCATCATCCTTTTTCATATCAATGTGATGGTAACAGAGAAATAAGTTTCCATTACTATCCTCACTGCAGTAGTGGAAGTTAACGCATACTCTGATTTGTCTGCATTTTTTTTTGCTATTGTTACACTAGCTGTTGTCCCTCCATTTGTATTAAAGTCAATTCCTCATAAAATTGGGGAGCCGATCTAGATCTACCAACAGGAAGAGGCCGTTTAGATTACTGTCCCAACTATTTCCATATTCTATAGATTGAGGAAGGATCTACAGTAGTACCAGCAAGTGAGGAAAGCAATAGAAACTTATTTCTCTGTCACCGTCACAGCAATATGTGATGGTAACATTTTGAAGCACCCTGTACTTAGGTTCCTGAAGCAGACCATTTTAACCAGTCAACAGTCATCTAGCCAATCCAAGACTAATCCAGTAATGATCTAACCATGACAGTCACACAGATGCAGACAGGAAAGCCTCAGCTTTCAGGACTGAGAGGATTAAAAATCTTGGTCTCAATCCAGGATTGATCATGATTCATTCAGGGTGTTCTATTAATATCACTAACATTAAATACAATATTCTTTTTTCCCCTTGCAGGAAGAAGGTGTTTTCTGAAGTTTACATTATTGAGCTTTCCCCTATCATAGTAGTTAAACCGAGATGGCCTTTGATCTGCCTATTGGTATAGCTTTGTATATTTGGTAGTTACTTGTTTTGTAGCCTTGGGATAATAAATAAATGAGCTAGTTCAGGAGGGACATGATCTTAAATCTATTGGCTTCATGGGGCAAGCCATAGGTAGGGAAAGTATGAGCTGTGTCCATTCGACCCCTGATATAAGCAGATCTTCACACAGAGATGCAGCATTTGAAAAACATCTTGGCTTACTTTAAGAAATGGCTTTTGAAAACTATCATAAAGGTTGTATCCAATTGCATAGCAAAAGTCAGTACATAATTAACCAGAAATCAGAAGCCAAACTCCTGTGTTCATTCTTACGGTTGGCAAATATTAAATGCAGGTAGTAGATTCTCTCTTTTAAAACATATCTTTAACACTGAAACTTTTAAATCAAGCTGATATATGTATGCAAATACACTACAAAGTCTAATAGTATAGTGCAATGTGCTATTTTTGTGAACTGTTTTGGACTGTTTTGGTTAGAAAGGTTCTTAATGTAATCCTAAGAATATGAGATTTCCTGTCTGTCTGTCACATTAGAAACAGAGTGAATGACAATTCGAAGTCCATATTAATTTTCTTCAAACATCTGTATGAAACTTGTACGTGAGATTATCTGGATATTTGGATTGTGCATAAATAATTGAATTTCATTATTTGGGAGCAATCATCTCAGTCTAAACAGCTTTTCAGATGATATGTTCAAGCAGATGAGAGTAAATAGGTTAAAGCTGGATCCAGAGAAAAAGGAGGTTGTGTTGTTGGAAATTTTTAGACACTAAAGGAAATTAATCTGCATTTGATGGGATGCTAGCATGATCAAGTTTGTGCTTTGGGATTACCTGGGACCCATTTTTTTGCTTTTGGGGACCTTTTGAGATAGATAACTTGTCAGATTGACCAATCCTAATGTCCATGTCTGAATACTTCAAGTTGCTTTATGTAAAGTAGTGTCCTTGGAAATGATACAAAGATTTTAAATGGTGAAAAATATTGCTCTCTCTTCTTTAATGGCCATGGGAGAATGCAAGAATATTAATTAAGGATAGCAATTACTACTGATATGTTTCTGACTTGATTTAGGCAGTTTAAAGCATTAAATTACCAGGGATCTGTGTACTGAAGGGGCCACGATATCAGCTAGAAAATTGCCATACAGATTAGGTGGAAAATTTACTTTTCCCATATTAGTTGCCTGTGTCTAAATTTGGATCCAATTCAATGTGTTTTTAGGTATAGAGAAGTCCTCTGAACAGTTAGAAAAAGATATAAATGCTTACACAAATACCAGTGGTTCTGATACATTGTAGAAGTTACATTGTATTCTCCTTTTTTGCATGGATCACATCTCCTTTACCATCTCTTCTTGCTAGCAATCTGCAACTTTTGGAGTTCCTCTTGTGTGTGTAAATATGTCAACAATTGCCATTTGTCTCACAAATGTTTTCTTCTAACCTGGTTTCCTCTTATTTCCTTTATCTATCCCTGCCCCACGCACTGTAATTGCTTCTCAGTCCATTCCTTTTCTTTGACCTCTTTGTTCTTTCCTTTCTTCTTTTGCTATTTTACTACTCCCACCTGTCATATTCTTCTATGTTCTTCCTCTCTTAATACACGATGCCACGAAGATTGCAAAACACATCTCATCTGAATTGGCTCCCCATTTTCCTCATGGAAACTCTATGCTTCCTTCCCATTTTCTTGTAATGCAAGTGCTTCTTACTATGCAGAATATATATGATCATTCTGTTCTATGCTTTCATAGCACCTCATGGAATAGCCATAAGGAAGTGACAGATGACTGAATTTAATGTAATCTTTGTATATGTACACTATGTCTCTTCAAAGTACTGCTTATCACATACTGTATTTTTTAAATTCTGTATGTGTGAACATAAAAAGTAGCTGTGGTTACTAAGTTGGTAAAAATTTAGATACATAAAACTGAACAAATTCCATACTGTGTTATTTTTAAAAAACAAGACTGAACATAAATAGATAAGGTTACCCTGATATATAAAACTGTTTTTGAGAAGTCATTGATTGGCATTTTGATAGATGAACAAAGTAATTAATAGACATTCATTCTAAGCCTGCGCTTATTAGCCTTGTTAGAATGCAAATTTGATATAAAACATATTGTGTTCACACTTGCTGTCTGGCAGAGACTTCGTAAGTAATTCTGAGTGCAGCCAACAGCCATTTTACTTCAGACCCATTAAATCCAGTGGAACTGCTCAGGAGTAAGTGGGTTGTGAATTCCCTGACTGTGAAACGAAGCCAGCCAGAATTAACTACATCTTTGCTTTCCATCAGCAATGCTTGAATGCATAAATGGAGGTACACTGCATTGCAAAGGTAGTGCTTTCAACTCTTAATTGAAATCTTTCTGTGTGTTCAAAACTTGTGGGAATAAGAGCTAAATGCTAGGGAAATCATGACTGCAATAAGGAAATATGTGCATTCCAGTATGCTTTTAGAGTGAATCAGGCTACAATCCTTTAAACAGGATATCATTTGCAGGGACTACTGGAGGACCTTGATGAAGGTCCTTCTGGGTGCCTGTTGCAGTATGTTCAATTACATAAAAATAGTTTATACTAATGCCCTACTTTCCAGTAACATGAAAAAGACAAGGGAGAACACTTTCATATTTTAAATGTGATTTCGGGTGTAAGTTGCCACATGTATGTTTTCTGGTGCAGGACTTCTTTGATTTGTTAGTTTGCCTTTTCTTCTTGAAGTTTTGGGAAGCATACATGGTGTCTCCTGTCCTACCGTATTCTAAAAATAGTGCTACGAGATAGATGAAATCAGGAGAGGGCAATTTTCTCTTTCAGTGACTTTATTGACTAAGTCAAGGTTTGAACATGGACTTTTACAACTCTATATCAGATGAAATATTACATTAAAGAGCAGACCCTGATATTCAGCTGGTGTCTGGAGATCTATTGAGTGAACTGCACCAAGATTAGTACTCTTACTGTAGGTTTTTAATTGCTTGGTGTTTTTTGTTTAAGAAAGTAGAGCAAGAAAAACAAGGTGGGAGGGATGTATGATGAGAGCATTCTGTCTTTTAATGGATTGACTGTTTTCACTGCTGCATGACAAGATGTACCTGCCAAATCTTCTTCCTTTAGAAATATTAGAAGTGCTCTGATCATGTATATTAACTAGAGCTCATCAAAGTGGTAGGGTCCTCACATATTGCACGTGGTGTTGGGTAAACCCATCTGCCATCCATGTCAAAAGTGAAACTTGAATTTTTAACTTTACAGTGTTAGCACTTGGGTGCTGCATAAAACTGAAGCATTCTCTAGAGAAAAACAAAATAATAATATAAAATTTGTATTTCTTCTACACCTCTCCTCATTGCTCGTAAAAAAAAACTTCTTTATTTTACTAACTGGTTCCTGACTATGGAGATACCTCATGAAAACCTTACTAAACTTGGCTCTTTTGCGTTTAAAACTAGGCAGATTTCTTAAGTATTTTTCTGTTCATTGGATGAGACTTGAGGTACCTCATAACAGATTTTGCCTTAAAGATTCAGATAAAATTCTCGAGAAGTGTAATATTTTGTCATCTATTGACTTGTCACTTGTTTGCAAAGAACACAGTTGCCATAGATGTGGCTTGATGTAGTTTCACTTGTACAAAAAGATTTAATTCCTTTATTTATGTAGGGACTCAAGCCAGTTCTCTCTGTGGAATCACCGCCTCTCATCTTTGGAACACCAACAAAAATAGCTTCAGAAGCACCACCAAAGGTTGAGTTTTTTTTGAAAAACAAGGTGCCAGAACTACAGAAGTTCTTTCAGGTGAGAAGAAAATTCTTTTTCTTAAAGCTCTTAATATTTAGGTACTGTTCTTACAGTGCAGTCACTTATTTAAGTTCTGCACCTTAAGTGTGTATGACATAATCCTACTGTAAATTTTTGTAGGTATATACTGAAAAAACAGGGGAAAAGCATGCTGAGTTTGTTTTTATTTCAATTCTTCAGTTAGTTATAGCTGCTATTCTTAGGTCAGTTCTGCCTATAGACAGTATGTTGCTAGTTTTTTTGGTGGCTAAAATTTCCCTTTGAGGCTCTTAGGCTCTTATCTCTGAATATTCCTTGCCTAAGAAAGTCCTATGAAAAATTATTAAAGTGACCATAAGTTGACTGGTGACTTGAAGGTACATCCAAACAATTGGATCACGTTGCATGACTGTTAAAAATTCACTTGTATCTCTATTTTGGCTAGGTATCCCCTTTTAGCCTGTACCCTGAGATTCCACTGGAAACTATGTCTAAAGAGTTGGAAAGGCACCATTCAAGAACAAACTGCCCCCCTCCTATTCTCCCCTTGATAGTTTTCACACATTAAATATTCTATCTGTGGTATTTCGTTATTTTTGCCAAATCTGAATGGGAAAACAGTTTCCCATTGTTAGAGACGAAGTTGCCACAAACCCAGTTGGCTATTTGACCATCTTGCCTGGTTTAACTTGGAGTGATTCCCCAGGATTTGACCAAGGGAGGTATCCCATCATCATTTCCCTTACCTTCAGGAGGCATCGCAGTAGATATTTGCAGGACCATCTAGGTTCTGTGCTTATAATAGGGGAAAATAGACATATGGCCATCTTAATTCTTGACAACTGGCCTAAATAATGCAAATGTGCACCACTACCACCACCCATGCTTTAAAAACAAACAAACCAATCTTTGTGTTTTCATGGGGAAGGACAGGGCATTGAGATCTTAACTTGTCCACAGAATGCTACCTTGCATTCACAAGACAGAGGCAGCACTGGGTTTTTAAAAATATTGATTTTTAAATTGAACAATTTGTTAGCTTGTGTGCAGGTGGTAATAGCACATTGGATGTTTATAGCATTTATTTACTTAATACAAACAGTCCAGCAAATGGCAAGCAAAGGGGACCAACAGCAAACAAAGGAAAAGGAAAGGGAATATTAACAGTAAATATTGAGTTAGAAGGAATAGTTCATGGGTAAAGAGCCCTTATTTTGAGTAAAGCCTATGCTCTCTTATAGAAGACTTGGTGGTCAGTTGAAGAAGAAACAGTGCTATAGTGTAGCCTGAGGATATGCAATTTTAAGAACATACTTACAGCTCTAACTGAAAACATGGGCTTGTATCCTGTTTAGGATACATCTTCTAAACTAGATCTAAGATTTCATAAATCTATTCTATTTTTAAAAAATCAGATTTGCTTATTACATATAGTTCTCCAGATGATGTTGCACTGTATGTCTAGCAATTTCCCTGAAGTCATTCAGGAAAATTATTTTTGTTACTACTACTACTACTATTTGCTAGAAGTATCACTCACTCCTCCTCTTTGCAGATTTATGGGAACTTTGGCTGGTTGCTGCTAAGGAGGGACAAATCTTTCCCCCCTCCTGATTGAGACTTTCTGATGTGGGCAGAATTCTGGGAAATGTAGTTTAGACAGGGCCTTTTTGCATTCTCTGCCATAGGGCTCCTTGCCTTCCCAAACTACATATCCTAGAGTTCTGTTCTTTCTTTACTAGCAAACTCTGCTTTCTCCCTGCTTTTCCTCTCCTAATGGCGAGGGGAAAGGCCGGCTTTTTTACTTTGCTTTGCTTCCTTGCATTGAAAATAAAACTGACTTTGGGAGGCTTCTGAGATTTACAAAATGCAAATGAAAAAGTATGGTAAGTTTTGATTCTTAAGTTTTGTCCATCAGAAGTATGAATCGAACAAATTTAATACGATTTACGAAGAATTACGATTAAAATGCACAAGCTTACTAGCTAGCTTCCAGTCCTACTGTCACAGTTGTTGAGCAAATAGATTATTTCTGTATTGGATCTTTAGTAGCTCACTCAGTGAAAGTATATATGAATTTCTTAACATTTAGAATATGTCTATTTTATCTACAGAAACCTGACGGCGTGCCAGTGCATCTGAAACGGGGCCTTCCTGATCAGCTTCTTTACCGGACCACAATGGCGCTAACAATAGGAGGGACTATCTACTGTCTAATAGCACTTTACATGGCTGCCCAGCCAAAAAGACAGAATTGAATTTCTGGGCATATCTTCTAGACGGGGGGTTGGCATTTAACCTTCCACTGTTCCACTTCAGTTATGTGACTGTAGCAAATTCTTGAGATTCCATATTGAGACTAAGGAAGCTTTCAGGAAAGCAATGGCCTTCCAACCCATAGGAAGATAAGAGCAAAATTAGTGCTGGATGGTGGGGAAAACTCAGTTTCCAGCACCGTTCTATGTTTTTTGCACCCTTAACTAGAATTATGATATACTGAGAATGGCCAGTCCACTCAGAAACTTCAATTTCAAAGAGCAAGGCATAAACAGGTTGATGATGGGAACTGAAAAAGACATTATGTTGATTTATGCCTTGATGTCACTCTCCAGCTCACCAGGAAGAAGGGCAAAAAGTTGACAGTGAAGCAAAACAAGAATCTTGGCTTAATCCAAAATGGAAAACAAATCATTTATCTTGACACATTTCATAAGAATCAGTGGTTGGGCTCCATTGCAAATTCTGTTGAATGACTTTGTAGAATTTTCTTCTTGCCAATAAGTGAATAACATTCTTGCTCTTGAAATATGCTCACTTTGTTAATGCCACGTCTCTGAGCACATGTCTTGGGAGTACAGTGTTGCAGTGAAGACAGGTATTGTGCGGCAGCACTAAATTTGGCGTCTTTCCCTGATCCAGTCTCTCTGTAATGAAGTTTGTTTAAAGATTGAAATAAATACTTTGCTGTTTCAGATTTGTCTTGTCTTTTTATGCAAAATATTAAATACATCTTCATATGATTTGCTTTCCAGTTTCAGTAACATGTAGGCCGGAGAGGTTTTTATGTGGATATTCTATTTGTTTTAAACGTGATTGTTTTTAACATGTGTTTATGCTGTTTTATACGGTTTTAATCATTTTAACATTTTGTGAGTGTTTTTTAAATTGTTTTGGAAGCTGCATTGGATCCCACTTTAAGAGAAAGGTGGCATAACAATGCAATAAATATAAATAATAGTAATCATATCAATAAGAATATACACATCATGAATATTACAAATGACCCAATGTCTCCCAAATTTATGACAGCTAAATGATAGTAAATAAATTATGTTTGATTTTTATCAGACTGGCTTCTGTGAGCTAGTGTTGACTAGAAAAGATCACATCGAGACAAAATCAGTAAAATGGATTTGAATGTGGTTTAATTATAAATAAGAACATCTGTATTTCATTTTTGTGGTTAAAAGTCTATTCTAATTCAGTCCTTCACAAATTTCCAATATGCCTGTTTTATCCTCCATTGCTGTTTTATCTACATTCATTTTTTCATCTCTTTTTTTCCTTTCTGCTCCATATAGTGGATGAGTGTTTTTCAGTTTTCTTAGATTTCCACTTTGATAAATACATAAATCTGCCAAAACTCACTTTATCTTTTTTTTTCTTGATTTCTTGAAATGAAAATTTATTCTGGGATTTCTGCTGCTTTCTCACTGCATGGTATTCAATTTGGCTATCAGAGTTCTGCATTCAGTTCTCTGAACAGATGTGAAGCGATCACATCACCGCAGGTACTGTTCAACTAAGCCATAATGATATTGAAAAGCAAATAAAGAAGAAATAAAAAGCTGTGTCTTATTTTAATCTTCTCTTAGTAAAATCTACTCTTTCTAGTTATTTATTTACCGTATCAGGAGTGAACCAAGGGTACAGTTGTGCTGTATTTGAGAAAACACAAAGTTTAAAACTTGCCATTATATTAAATGTTCTTTGATTAGTAACTGGCCACTTGGAGTGCCTCTGGTGTGCCTATAAGAAGGTTCTCCATTGTGCATGTGACAGGGCTCAGGTTGCATTGTAATAGATAGTCTGTGGTTTGTTCTTCTCCACCCTTGCATGTCGTGGACTCCACTTTGTTGCCCCATTTCTTAAGGTTGGCTCTGCATCTCATGGTGCCAGAGCGCAGTCTGTTCAGTGCCTTCCAAGTTGCCCAGTCTTTTGTGTGCCCAGGAGGCAGTCTCTCATTTGGTATCAGCCATGGTTTGAGGTGTTAGGTTTTAGCCTGCCACTTTTGGACTCTTGCTTGCTGAGGTGTTCCTGCGAGTATCTCTGTAGATCTCAGAAAGCTGTTTCTTGATTTAAGGCGTTGGTGTGCTGGCTGATATCTGAAGAGTGGATGAGCTGGGCATGTCACTGCCTTAGTCCTTTCATTATTGGCTGCTACTTCCCAGTGGATGTCAGGTGGTGCAGTACTGGTTAGACAGTGTAATTTCTCCAGTGGTGTAGGGCGCAGACAGCCTGTGATAATGCGGCATGTCTCATTAAGGGCCACATCCACTGTTTTAGCATGGCGAGATGTGTACCATACTGGGCATGCCTACTCAGCAGCAGTGTAGCAAAGCGCAAGGGCAGATGTCTTCACTGAAATATACTCTTTCTAGTGAATAAACAGAAAGAGAAATTGTAAACTATGTTATCACCTGTGTAATATGTTTGTATCAGCCCATTAACTTAAACCAGTGATGGGCAACCTTTTGAGCTTGGTGTGTCAAAATTTGCCAAAAACCTGAGCATAACTTGGGTGTCAACTTTGAGAAAAAAAACAACATAATTTTGCAATATTTATAGTTTAAATAAGAAAAATATATATTCCATGCTGAGTTATGGTGTGAACAATGATCAAACGTGCAGATGTTAAATATGTAGAGCCTTTTACAAATTTAAGGATGGAATTATATTGGCTCTTATAAGGTGTACTTTTCTGTATGCGGCCGCATGTGGCCGCGTATCATCAAAAATAGCTATGCGTATCAGTGCTGACATGCATGTCATAGGTTGACCATCACGGCCTTAAACCTTTATTTTGTACAGAAATAAAACCTTAAACTAATTCAACATACATGTATTTTGCTCTGAGTGTCTCTTGGAGCATTCTATTTTAGCAGGCATTATTCAAATTTAGGCTTCCAAATTTTCAAAAAGGAACTGATTATTAAGGCTGAAAGTAGGCAGTTTCAAAACTAGGGATGAGCATCTTTGACACTCTTGTTATTGAACTACAAATCCAATCAGCCCTAACTTGCACTTTTAATGCTGAGTGAGGAAGCAAACATTTTAAACTCAACAGTAATCTTTCAAAATTGTAAACCACAATTTAGTTACAGAAAACAGATGATTGTGTATGCCAGCTGTAGTTCTAGTCCTGCATTAAAACATGGAAGCGAAATAATCTAGAATGAAATGGAAGGCAATATAATTTACTATACTTTAATTAAAACCAGAGAAGGCAGCTGCAGATCAAATAAAATATTTTTTTAGTCCCCTGGCCTTGAAACCTTTGTATGAGGGTTGAATGAAAAGTAATGCCTCCACCTTTGTTACTTGGGTTTGGACGGGAATATTTTAATAAATCAAATGCAGAAATAATCCTTAGAATATGCTCTTTAACTTCCACTATTCACTTTTCCACATAATCACCAGACAATTGGATACATTTCTGCCAACGATGAACAAGTTTTCTGAAGCCATCACGGAAGAAGTCGACACCGTTTCCACAACCAGCATCTCACAGTTCTCTCATCCTGGGTTCCCATCGTACACAGATCTTCTCATAGCCAAGCAAAGCAATAATGTGACCCACATGTTCTTGTGAAATGCCGATTATGCTTAAAATTTCTCTCTGTGTGATAAGACGATCATCCTGAATCAACCTGTCAACCTTTTGCTTGTGAAACTCTGTGCTTGCTGTGACAGGACATCCAACTCTTTGTCATGCAAGTCAGATGTTCCCACCTCACCATCTTTAAACTTACCCAGTGATGCACAGTACTCACATCAACACAATCACTATAAACAGCTTGCATTCGCTAATGAATCTCCTTTGGGGTGACACCTTCTCCTGTCAAGAATTCAATGACTGCACATTGCTTAAGTTGCGTTGACCAACCATCTGTGCAGGGTTCTATACTTCACACTTTAACAACACAACTGTTCAATGCTTAGGCTTCCCACCAAAATGGAACTGTAGAGGAGAGTCTACAGAACAAGCCAGTACCTGCCAAATACCAGTACTGCCATCTGTTGAGTTACAAAGGTGGAGGCATTACTTTTCATTCAACCCTCATATTATTCAAGGTACATGGACTTTGAATTTCATATGTGGGGTTGGCCATTATTTTCCCCACTGGACTGATGACTGACACTGTATTTGAGCCCACTGATTATTTCTGTCTTGGAAACTCAGCAGAGACAAGCAGGTAATGATGTGTGGATCAACCCTAATTCAAGGATGACTACTTTCAGATGCATTGGCCTTGGCCACCTCATCAAAGAGATCTTTCTTCCTATATTAATTGGCTTCATTGTGTCCAAGAGACCATAACACTGTGGGAAAAGAAATCTCTTCTCTATTATGTGCTTCTGCCCCAACCAAATTTTTTGTTTTGTTGCTGAGTGGGCAATAAAGATAGGGGAGGGTGGTGAATAAATTGGGACCAAATTCATAAAAGGCTAAATAAAAATAGGTAGAGGCACCACCTTAGAGAAAGGTGACCCCAAACAGAAAAAGTTGGAGAACATCCACGCACAACCTAGAATTGTTCAATGTTGGTTGGTAGAAAAGAATCAAGACAGAAAAGGCTGCATTGAATGCTGGATGACAGCAGAACAGAGGTCAAAATAAAAATGCAAGTCCCTATTTTTACAGAAGGCATTAAACTAACCAGGTGAAATCTGACTACATATTATAGTAATTATTTATGGCAGTTCAGTGAAGAAACTGAACCTGGGTTATTCTGTCCAGACCTTCTTGTCTTTGCTGGAGTCAAAAGTAGCATTAATGTATTTTTAGCCATTGTAATGAGCAGATGCAAGTCAAGGAATGCACAGAACAGATAGCATCAGTATTTTACATTCCTTTGAAGAGTAATCACATTTTGGGGCAGAATAATTCTTTAACCCCCATGGCCCATGAAAAGACATTTTAATGGCATAAAATTGGACATGTAAATCACAAAGAATTAGATCTGTAATGTAGGCATTCTGTAGAATTGTTTATGTACTTTTGTGTGTTTGTGTGCCATCAAATTCCCTTTTGACTTTCCACTACCCTGTGAACTTACCTGTCCAAACATGTCTCCCCCTATGAACCTTGCAGGAATTTAAGATCTTCTGGGGAGGCCCTCCTCTCGGTCCCACCTGCCTCACAGTGCGTTTGGTGGGGACGAGAGACACGGCCTTCTCAGTTGTGGCCCCTCAGCTGTGGAACTCCCTTCCTGGGGAGATTAGATCTGCCCCCTCCCTCCTGGCCTTGAGGAAACCTGGTCTTCGAGTAAGCTTTTGGAACCTCATTGTAACCAGATAATTTAGTATTGTGAACAAATATGGAATGGCTTAATGATGCAAATGGACATGGATTTTTATAGTTTTACACTGTTTTATTATGAATTTAATTATGTGATTTGATCTGTTTTAATTGACGTATTTCTGTGTGTTCGGCATCTAATGTTGCCAGTCTGTACATTGCCCTGAGTCAACTTCGGGCTGAAAAGGGCGGGATAAAAGTGTAGTAAATAAATACATAAATAAATAAATAGATTCATAGGATTTTCTTAGACAAGGAATATTTATTTATTTGCCTTATTTATATCCTGCATTTCTCTACCCCGAGGGGGACTCAAGGCAACTTATAATCGCACCTCCATGGTGCCTTAAAACATACCACATCAGTTAAAAAATAAGTTAAACATTAAAACA